TGAAATACATGCAAATTTGAATCTGGAAGGTATAAAATAGAGTAAGTAGAGTTGTAGTGAATGAGGGGTGACTTTAGAATTAAAAAAAAAATAAAGGTCTATTTGAGATACTATTTACATAACATGGAATTCCTTCCATTCATTATATCATTCAGTTTTTTAGTACACTCAAGAATTTGGGAATACATCTCCATATTCTTCATTTAGAATAATTCTGTCAGCTCCCCCAGAACCCTGGTGATTGAATTTAGGGCCTCAGTCTACCTGTTTATCCACACCTCAGTTCTTTTGCTTTTAGTTTTTTTTCAGATAGAGTCTTAGCCCAGACTGGCTTCCAACCTATATACCCCTACCTCTGCCTGCTGAGCAAGCTGGGATTATAGGTGTGAACCATCACACACAGCCCTGAGAGTTTTAACCCATAAATAAAAATAAAATGCATTTGAGGGTTCAAACTATTGAAGCACATGGAGAAATAAATGGTGCTTCACCTGGAGGAAGGAGAAAATGCTGATGTTTGACTTTGGATTGTGATTTTGAAAATCTTTTCATTTGCCTGTTTTGTGCATTTGCTGCAATGAAATATCTTACAGATTTTTCTCATTTATCCTAACAAATCTTTCAAAGACCAAAACTTTTCATTTTATGTAGTCCCACATATTGATTTATGTATCACTCATGTTTTTTGGTTTGCCCAGCCTGTTGTCTCAAAGATTTTATTCTTTTTTCCCTAAATCTTTATAGATTTATGGATATTTGGGTTGTCTCCAGATTTTGGATATTGTGAATACTTTTATTGTCCTTAGGGGAGTGCAAGTATGTCTTCATGATGTTGACTTCAGTATTTTTGGATAAATACACAGCAGTGTCATTGGTGGTTTTCATGATAGGTCTATTTTAATTATCTCATGGACCGCCAAACTCTTACATTATTATTGCACCATTTTACATTCCCACCAAGAAGTGAAGGGTTCTAATTTCCCCACATCCTCACTAACATTTATCTTTTTTTTTAATACCTGTGCTAACAGGTTTGATATGATTCTCATTGTAGATTTGCATTTTCCTGATAATTACATTGAACATCATTTCATATACCTGTTGGTTATTTTAGATATCTATTTTAGAAAATGTCTGTTTGGGAACTTTGCCCATTTTGGATTTTTTTTTTTTTTGGCTATTAACCCATTATTAGATATATGGTTTGCAAATCTTTTCTCCACTTCCATTGGTTTCCTTTTCACTCTGCTGAGTTTTAATTTTTTCTCTTTTGCTGGGCAGATGCTTTTTAGTTTGGTATTATCCCACTTCTGTGGTTTTGCTTTTGTCAACTATGCTTTTGGGTCACAGCCAAAAAAATAATCTCCCAAACCAGTATCATCATCCATTTTGACTGTGCTGTTTTCTAGTAGTTTTATGCTTTCAGGTCTCAGATTTGATTCTTTTTGGGTTTTTTTTTTTTAATACACAGTGTAGGGTCCAATGTCATTCTTAAGCTTACGACTGCCTGTTTTTCCAAACACCATTTCTTGGAGAGACTTTTCCACACTCTGTGCTCATGGCATCCTAGTTAAAGTTCAGTTGACTACAAATGCATGGACAAATGTCTTTGATCTCCATTCTGTTCCATTGGTCTTTTCGTCTGCTTTTTCAGAAGTACCATTGTGTTTTGATTACAACTACTTGGTGATATAGTTTGATTAGGAAACGTGGTGCCTGTAATGTTTTTTCTTGATCAAGGTTCTTTTTGTGAATTCAACATTTTCTGGCTCTATGTAATTTAAAGATTGATGTGAAGTTTTGACAGGAATTGTATTGAATCTCTCATTATGGGTAGTATGAACATGAACAGTAGGCGTCTTTCCTTTTGTTTTTGGTTTAATTTCCTTTTTCAGTATTTTATACTTTCTAATGTCTACAGCCCTCATTGCTTGAGTATATTTCTAAGTATGTTAGCCTTTTTACTGTTTTTGAGAATGGGATTGCCCTAATTTTCATTTTTGAATAGTTGGTTGTTTGACTATAGAACACCACTGATTTTTTGTGTTTATTTTGCACCCTGAAACTGGACTGATTTTGTGAATGTTCTAACAGGCGTTTTTTGTTGGTGTTGTTCATTCTTTAAGGTTCTCTGTAAAATATGTCATCTTCAAACAATAATTTTACTTCTTCCTTTCCTATTTCAATCATATTTTTCTTACCTAATTGCTATGCATAGTACTTCCAGTACTTTATAACAGAAATGAGTGAGCATCATTGCATTCTACTGCATTATAGAGGAACAGCTTTCAGTTTTTCTCTATTGTGATGTTAGCTTCTGCCTTTGTATGTATAGTATTGTGTTGAGGGACAATCAGGTTTGTGGTGTTTAAAGTTTAATATCTAGTTCACCTTCATGTTGGTACTCTCTGTACACCCAGTCTGAATACAAATTTTCCTATAGATATTCCCAGGTGTAGGGATCCAACTTTCTATGAACAAAACAATTTTAATCACATCTGCCGTTTGTTAAGTGACCCTGGCATGCATCCCACATAGGAGAAAGTTGTTAAGATAGTTGTGCTGGCCACTGATGCATGGACTGTTTCTTCCTTTTTTTAGTATTACACATTGTTTATGCTATCCTTAAGGAATGCAATACAGTAAAACTGAGGTTTGTTCTGCTTTTGTAAAAATTAAATTGTACAAAGGGATATCATTACATTTCCACACCTGCATACAATGTACTTTAACCATATTCATCAACTCTATTACCCTTTCTTCTCCTCCTCCCCTTACACATTCCTAATAGTCCCCTTTTACTTTCATGTCCCTTCCTCCCACTCCATATTCCATGAGAGAAAAATATACATTTGTCTGTTAGACTTTGACTTGTTTTACTTAAAAGTTTCATCTAGTGCTCGCTTCAGCAGCATATATACTAAAATTGGAATGTAAGAGAGTAGCATGGCCCCTGTGCAAGGATGACACTCAAATTCATGATGTGTTCCATATAAAAAAAAGAAATTAAAAAAATCCAGTTCCATCCATTATCATCCACTAATTTATTCTTCTTTATGAATTGTTCCTTAACTGAGATTGGACATACTCTTGAGAAAAGTCAGGCAGGTACATTCCAGGTAGTTGTGGGCCTTCTTTGTCCAGATAAGCGTATAAACTCCTCCCATAGGATGAAATAGATAGCTGGTGTTCTAATTCAATAGATGAGGAAACCAAGGACAAAAATAAGCTTAACTCATCTAGTAACTAGCTGAGTCAGGATTTGAGTCTGTCATGGTGCAGCAAAGGCAGGTGATACAGGGCGGGGGGAGGGAAAAAGCTATTCTTGTTCTTGTTCTCCACATGTGGACTTATGAGTCATCTTAAAATTGTTGTCATGCTATTACAATTGTAGCAAATTAGTACTCTGTCCCTTTATTTCATAGACCACAATTACTTATGAAATTAATATTTAATTAAAGTATACTCACTACCACATAATGCCAGAGCAAAGACTATCCACTGTTTTAGGGGAGGCATCTGGTCCGTAAGGACCAGATGATTCATCACCTTACCAATGTGTAACTCAAAATTCAGTGACAGTGCACATTTGCTAAACATTTTCAGAATGTGTTTCTTCTGTTAATTTCCAGAAAGTTAAGTTTCTATTGTACAACACCAGACATACTGGCACATTTGGTATCTCTTTTCTGTGATCTCTGAAAGGTGATTAGGGTCCACATGGAGGAAGCAGAAAATACTTATAGTGGATTAGCAATATTGGAAATCTTTTCATAAGTGTATCTACTCCATATATGTTAAAGGGGGTGTCATTTTTCTTCCCCATACTTAATTATTTTTCATACTCATATTTATATTTTCATTTTGTGTAAATCAAGATGCATGACATGGGTCCTATTTAGGATACAAGAAAGAGCTGTGTAGAAATTTAATACAATGATATTCATCAACAGTGATGCAGATTTCAGAGTTTAAGAGTTTGAAATTGCACTTGTGTGTTTTCATCTATACAACTATCTTAACAGCATGGAGAGAAAAACTTAATTGAAAAACAGAATCCTAGGTTCCCAAAACCATACGATGTTTGACTTCACAAAAAATTCCATCTGTTAACTTTAACAGCATAACAGTGTATCAATGTCTGCTATGAAGTCTTGCATTGAGATGAAATAAACCTCTATGAATAGAAGAAAACACAAATCAATCATAATGAAAAAGATTAAATTTTATTAAGTAAAACTTTACATTAATATACATTCTGAGTAAAGCAGTAGCAAATGTAATAGCAACAGTTAAATATAGTCCTCATGAAAATGCTATTCTGGTTCTGTTGTGTTGCTGAGGATTGACCTCAAGCCTTGCACATGCTAGGAAACCACTGAGGTACATCCCCAGCCCCTATTTTGGTTCTGATTAAATTCTCCACTCTAAAAATTCTTCTTTTCAATTTAAAAAAATAAGACTACTCCTCAATCTTTGCAATATCACAGCTACTGTCATTCAATGTAGAAGGCGGTCACTATCTCTTGCATTTTTTCTACCATATATTCAGTCTCTAGTAACCTATTACTCTCATCCTATTTTTAAAAAAACCAAAAACCCATCAGTATCCAAAGTTCTTGGCCTTTGCTGTATTTCCTGCTCAGATGGTATAGTATTTCTTTTCCATAAGCTAGAGTGCTCAGAAGGACAACCCATACACAGTAATGAATTACGATGACTGATGTATAGCTTCACATTATTTTCTCCTCCGTCCAGATACTAATTTAGAGGATATTTAATTTCAAAAGGCAGATTCATTTCTCCCAGAAATTGGATAGAAATCTCACCTAATGAAGCAAGCCCTTTCATCTTATTCTTTTCCCAAGACCACAATGAAAAACCTGTAAGGATGGCATTTTAACAGGTTTCAATCATAATAGCAATTTTCTCAAAAAATCAAGTAATTGAATAAAATATTTCATAACCTGAAGGTAATTAGGTATTTCTAAATATCCTTGTGACTTTTGTATCTATCGTGTCATGAAGTTTTAACATTTTGTCCTGGAATTATTCGGAAGAATGTAGTATCAAAAGGTAGTCACGAAGAACTAGAGGCTAAGTTATCACTTATATAAATCTTCATCTAGTTGTGGTCATTAGAATAGCCTCAGTAACAATGTTCCATTTGAATGGTTTCATCAAAGATGTGTATTTTGATGTCTAGTGAGTTGTCAATATTAGATTAAAGCCTCTGCTGTGTACAGTATAAGATTTCCTTTTGGAATGAACTTTCTGATGTCTACTAATCATTGAACTTGTGTGTGTTTTGGGGTCTTGTTATGTAACTCAGGCTGGCCTAAGAGTCACTGCCCTCTTGCCTGAGGGCAATTCTCCTGAGTTCTGGGATTATAGCCATGTACCACCACACCTAGAAGCATGCTTGCACTCTTGATGAGTGATTTCCTACAGTCAATGCATTTATAAAGATAATCTTAAGAATGAACTCTAGGATATTGTGCAAGGAGAAAATTGTGAATGAAGACCTTGCTATACTCACTTATAATGCTTCAGTCCAGTATGAAGTCTCCGATGACTTGCAAGGTTGGAACTTCGACTAAAGACCTTGCCACACTCATTACATGTGTAAGGTTTTTCACCAGTATGGATTGCTTGATGGGTGGTTAGGCTTGAACGCACACTAAAGGCTTTGCCACACTTATCACACTTGTAAGGTTTTTCTCCAGTATGAGTCCTCCGGTGACTTGCAAGGTGTGAATTTTGAGTGAAGACCTTGCCACACTCATCACATTTGTAGGGTTTTTCCCCAGTATGGATTGCCTGGTGGGTAGTCAGGCTTGAGTACACACTGAAGGCTTTGCCACACTCATTACACTTGTAAGGCTTCTCTCCAGTATGGATTCTGCGATGATTTGCAAGGTGTGAATTTTGAGTGAAGACCTTGCCACACTCTGAACATTTATAGGGTTTTTCTCCAGTGTGGATTACCTGATGGGTATTTAGGTTTGAATGTGAATTAAAGGCTTTTCCACACTCATTACACCTGTAAGGTTTCTCTCCAGTGTGAATTCTCTGATGAATTGAAAGGCTGGAAGTTTGACTGAACACCTTACCACATTCATTACATTTGTAAGGTTTTTCTCCAGTATGGATTACTTGATGGGAAGTTAAGCTTGAGCGCACACTAAAGGCCTTGCCACACTCATTACATTTGTAAGGTTTCTCTCCTGTATGAACTCTCCAGTGCCTTGCAAGATTTGAAGTTTGACTAAAGAGTTTGCCACATTCATCACACTTGTAAGGTTTCTCTCCACTATGAACTCCTCGATGACTTGCAAGGTGTGAATTCTGACTAAAGACCTTGCCACACTCATCACATTTGTAGGGTTTTTCCCCAGTATGGATTGCCTGGTGGGTAGTCAGGCTTGAGTATACACTGAAGGCTTTGCCACACTCATTACACTTGTAAGGCTTCTCTCCAGTATGGATTCTCCAGTGATTTGCAAGGTGTGAATTTTGAGTAAAGACCTTGCCACACTCTGAACATTTATATGGTTTTTCTCCAGTGTGGATTATCTGATGGGTATTTAGGTTTGAATGTGAGCTGAACACTTTCCCACACTCATTACACCTATAAGGTTTCTCTCCAGTGTGAGTTCTCCGATGAATTGCAAGGCTTGAAGTTTGACTGAACACCTTGCCACATTCATTACATTTGTAAGGTTTTTCTCCAGTATGGATTACCTGATGGTTAGTTAGGTTCGAACGGACACTAAAGGCTTTGCCACACTCATTGCACTTGTAAGGTTTCTCTCCAGTATGAATTCTTCGATGACTTGTAAGGTGTGAATTTTGAGTGAAGACCTTGCCACATTCATTACATTTGTAAGGTTTTGCTCCAGTATGATGTCTCTCATGTACCAAAAGATATGAACGCCTGAAAAAAGCCTTACCACATTCAATACATTTGAAATGTTTCTCTCCAGTGTGAATTCGCCGATGATGGGCTAGAGAAGAGGTATAACTGAAGACTTTGCCACACTCATTACATTTGTAAGGTTTTTCCCTAACGTGTGCTTTTGGTTCTTGCGTTAGTAATGAAGAATAAATTAAGTCATTCCTATATTCATGAGGAATGTGGGTTTTGATGCTAGAAGGATTTCTTTGAGGTGGACAAATTGAGGAACCACTGTTGATAGACTTTTCAACTTCCTTACAATCAATTTTCCCTTCAGACTGAAACAATTTCAGTTCAGGCAGATGTGCCTGGAAGTTTAATCCAAACCAATTCTTCATAAGCTTGTTTCCTGCATCCCTTTTACCATCTTTGTCTTTTCTAGCAGCGAGATTTTCTTTATGGATCTCAAGTACATTTTTATAATTTCCTTCACTGTCTTTCCACTGAAACTCAAAGTCATGTATATTTTTCTGGACTTTCCTGAGGGAAAACTGTTTAATATCATTGCTTTCATGTCTTTCCAACATCACTGTATGGAGTATTTCTCCAGTACTGCTGTTTTCCTTTGGTGGTAATTCTTTAATTTTGCATTTAGGAGTGGTATCTACAAGATATAAAGTAGCACAGTGTTCTGATTAAAGATATAAATACTTCACACTGAAAAACATAGTATTACAGCAAAAAGTAATATATATATTGGGTAGACTTATGATCCTACAGAAACATTAAATTCAGTATTTAGGAACACAAAAGGAATAAGATCTTTTAATTTAAAAAGGTGACAACATGTAATTCAAATTAACAGAAGGAAAGCCCAGTTTCAAACAACCTATAATCAAAAATTCATACTGAATGAATCTATGTTGGCCAGGAGGAAAATATTTTTCCATTATAGCTCCAAAAACCATATGGTTATATCATAACTGAAGCAATAAAAATTCACATTCCAGCACACTGATTATGTACAAATCAATGCTAAGATCCCACACAATACATTGTGATGGTACAGAACTCACAGCAAATTTATGTAACTAAGTGGCAGTTCTGAATTGCAAAGCAACAACAGCAGAGGGAAAGGAGGAAGAATTCAATATGACAAAGCAGAAAAAAAAAAACTGAAATGCCTGTTATAAAACTACTGAAACCCACTCACAGCAGGCATTTTGCAATTAACAAGGGATGCCTGCCTGGCAGGTGTACTGCATAATGCACGATGACAAACATTATCTGTAGAAACAATAAAAGTGACAGAAAATTCTAGTAACCTGTGATGACATGAGCAGGTAAATAATTAGTAAATACATTTACAAAAAGTTACAGATTGTGGAATTACAATTTCCTCTTTAGAAAAGATAAAGGAATTCTATTTCAGAAACAGCACAGAATATAAGAAATGGAATATCCAGCTATCCCACTCCTGAGGATATACCTGAAGGAAATGAAGCCAGTATATAAAAGAGATACCAATATACCTATGATTACTACAGACTATTCACAGTAGCAAAATTATGGAATCAGCCTCGGTGCCTGTCAACAGATGAGTGAATAAAGAATATAAACACAATGGAGTATTATTAAGCCATAAAAAAGAATGAAGTTCTGTCATTTATAGGAAAATGGATAGAACCAAAGGGCTTCTTTCTAAGTGAAATAAGCCAGGCACAAAAAGAAAAGTATCACATGTTTTCTCTCATATGTGGAAACTAAAAAAAAAAGACTGTAAAGTAGAAGAGGCACTATTAAGGAAGATGAAATGGACCTGGCCAGGGTGGCGGATAGGGATGGAGGAAGGAGAGGGGAAGATATTAAGAGAGGGTAGCAGGGAGGGTGGACATAATCAAAGCACAATGTAAATACGTATGGAATATAGCACATTGAATCTCATTAATTTGTACAATAAATGTGTTAATTAAAATAGTAGGAAAAAAGTTTCACTGAATATCTACATTATAGTATATATGCTTATAGGAAGCAAATGATGTCATGATTCAAACTGATGGTCATATCCATTGTGTCAAAGATTTGTCAGTTACCCCTGCTCTTTACTTAAAAATTTTGTACCTGCTGGGCCGATGGCTCATGCCTGTTATCCTAGCTACTCAGGAGGCAGAGATCAGGAAGACTGCAATTCGAAGCCAACCTAGGCAAATAATTTTAGAGTTCAAGAGACCCTATCTCGAAAAAACCCATCACAAAAAAAGGGCTGTTGCTAGGCTCAAGGTGTAGGTTGAGTTCAAACCCCAGTTCCACCAAAATATTAAAAAAATAATTAACTGTATAGACAATACTGGAGGGAGAAAGGCTAAATGTTTATACTTCTAAAGAACAGAGAAGTTTAACATTTCCTTTAAGAACTCAGAGCACCTAACATTCATTTTCCCACAGAAATCTTCCACTTGTGGAAAGTCTACTGAACACCACTGAATGGTGCAGCTTCCACTTTGTCCATCTGAGCTCTTACCTGCACCCCCACCTCTGACACTCTCCCAGCCATTTGGGTTTCTTCGTCTTTTCACTTCTCTCTCCACAGTCCAGGGCTCTTTCCCATGCTCCAATATGGAAATAACAGTCAGGTTAGGAAGACAGATTCCTGTTTATAAAAAGAAAGGAATACAATGTACTGGTTTTCTTTAGAATCCCAGTCTTATATATATGTGAAGAGAGAAAGACCCTTACAGACGAATCCAGAAAAGTATTTCAGAAATTCATCACTGACTGCTTCCTTCTGAAAGCTTAGGGAACACTTTAATATGCAGGTATCTAGTTCTCTTCTAAGAATTAATGGATCAAAAGCAGAGGAAGAAAAACAGGCAACTAGATATTTTTAAAGTCTGTAATGAGCTGGGCATGGTAACACATGCCTGTGATCCCAGCACTCAGGAAGGCCAAAGAAAAAAGATCAAGAGTCCAGGGCAGCCTAAGACTACAAAGAAAGACCACCCATCCTCCCCCACAAAAAAAATGAGAAGGAGGAGGAAGAAGAGAAGAAAAGCCTTCCATGAGGACTGGATATGTAGCTCAGTGGTAGAGCATTTGTCTACCAAGTCAAAGTCCTGGGTTCCATCCCTAACATAGAGTCAGAGAGAGACAGAGAGTAGATACAGAAAGAGACAGACAGAGTCAGAGAGACACACAGAGACACAATACTTCAGTTGTGGAATCACCCAATGATGCATCACCAAACAGGCAGAACATCAAAAGAAAGGGGATGGTTCGAGTCCAGAAGCTGCATCAGCAAGTTTTTCATTTCTGAGTCAATACAGCTTTAAGTTCAGTCAAGCAATGTGGAATGCAAAGGAAAAGAAAAATGGAAAGATAAACAGGGAAGATCCTGACTTCTGGATGGAAGTTGTCCTTACCCAGGGAGACCAGGCTTCTATAGTTCTCCAACATCACGTCCCTGTATAAAGTCTTCTGAGCAGGGTCCAGGCATTCCCACTCCTCCTGAGAAAACTCTATAGCCACATCCCCGAATGTCAACCGTCCCTAAAATGAAAAACAAAACAAAACACATTTCACCACGTGGACCATGTGGAATATTACAATCTTCTCATAAAGTCAGAAAAGGAAAGAACTATGAGGACACATTCAATTGAAGTGAGTGGTGGGTGAGCTGTATACACTGTGATATTATAAAACATGTTTTTGGTCTTTGTCTAGTTTCTAGACATACAATTCCCTTGTAATCTTTGGAGTGAAAAGGCTGGTTCTGTATGCTAAGGAGACGGCTGAAGGCTGGAGGCACCTAGGTATTTCAGGAAAGAGGCTGATCCCAGAAAGACTCAAGTAGGATTAGAGGGCCAGAACCTTCAGCTTCACTCCTGAGCCTCATGTGAAGGAGAGGATCTAAAAGTTCTGTGAGGGTCAATGGTCAATGATGCAAACAATCATGCCTGAGTAATGAAGCCTCTATAAAAACTCAACAGGGCAGGGTATGATGTGCTTTCCCAACAGCTGCCTGTGAGGAAGTTCCTAGAGAGAGGTATGCCCCTTCACCCATACCCTACCTTATGCATCTTCTCCATCTGCATCCTTTACAATGTACCTTGTAATAAATGGGTAAGGGTAAGTAGAATGTTTCCCTTAGCTCTGTAAGTTGCTGTAGTAAATTAATTATAAAACCTCAGCTGGGAAGGGCAGGGAGGGGATTGCAAACCCATGTTACTCAGAATCACAGTCCGCAGCCTGTTCTTGCTATGGGCATCTGATATGAAGGCACTCTTGCAGGGCTGAGCCCTCCAGTTGTGGGACCTGAGGCTTAATGTCACGATTCAATTGAATTAGAGGTCACCCATCTAGGCACCAGAATTGCTTTCGTGGTGTGGGGAAATTTCCACACGTCTGGGGTCACTAAAGCTTTCTGTGTGGTGAGTGTATAGAAAGAGAAACTGAATTGTTTTTTCCTATATTCTTTCACATGGTAAGGTATATTTGAGCAACACCATGTCTCCCTAGTTCTGTTTTTATCTTACTTTTCTGTAAGAAGTTGCAATAGCCTATAAATCAGTGCGCTTCTCATTTTGTGGATCATACAAACAAGCAAGCAAGCAAACCACAAAGAAAGAAAAAAACCAACACAGACCTGTTGGCTTTCTCCTGTCTCCTTCTATCCTTCCCATTACTCACTCTGTCCAGCCTCCTCTTTTCACCCTCTTTCTTTCAACCTTCCCATCCACCACCTGGTTCCTGTCTCATTACACGCAGGGTTATCTCAATATAAGTATCAGATGTGAAAACACATCAAATGGGACACATTCAATATCTAGATGAACTACAGAATGCATGGTGTCTTCAGAGATGACAGACGTGGGGCTTTAAAGAAAAGTCAGAATTTTTAAAATGTGATGACAGTAACAGCAATAACTAAGCTTATGAACACATTCAAATGCTGGATATTTTAAATTCTTTATATGACCTAACTCCTACAGCAATATAACAGCCCACAAGAGAACCATACATTCCCATCTTACTAAGGAGAAAATCACGTCACAGATACTGAAGAACTTCCTGAGGTCAAAGAGCTAAAAATGGGAGAACAGGCACCTGATCCTAGATATCTGAGAACTGGAACTGAACCTGAAGAATCTAGCAGTCAGGTAAAGAGCATCAAGAGTAAAATGATGAGCTAATGGTGTAGCTTAGTGGTAAAATGCTTGCTTAGCATGTACAAGACCCTGGGTTCAATCCCCAGCACCACAGAAAAAAAAGGTGAATTGACAGATTACCTAAGTGAGGAAAGTTGAAACAAGTTCAAGGCAAGTGACCTGAAACCTCACAAAAGGTCAATGTATGTGCACACACACATAGGCAGGCACATAATAAAATACCAGTGTTACTAATGTCAGCTCATCGACGTGGTAATACACAGCAAATTTAAGGCCAGAGAAAATTAGATATAATTTCACCTAGTAAAAACATAAAACTTGCTGGGCATGGTGGTACATGCCTGAAATTCAGCACTTGGATCTTGAGTTCAAGGCCATCCTGGACTATGTAACGATACCCTATCTCAAAAAACCAAAACAACAACCAAAACCATACACGTGTCTTTGATAAAAAGCATTTTTGCATATCTAAGCATGCATCACAAATATTTATATCAAGTGAGACAAGAAGTTGTTTCAAAGACATATTTTTCTGGTAATATTTTTCACCATCATTTTCTCATGTGCATTTCACAGCATATTTAGGACAACAAAATGTATAAACTGTATTAAATTTTGTTTATAAATATTACTACATTTTAAGATATTAAAAATAGGACAACATGGGGTAAGGGGTGTGACATGCATGAAGCCCTGTGTTCAATCCCCAGCACCCCCATTCTCTAAAATGTGGTGCATATGAAAATAAAATAGAAACTTGAACTTAATTTCTATAAAATGCTCACATTCAAAAGTATTACAAGCTGGGTGTGGTGGTGGATGCTTGTAATCCAAACATTCTGGGAGACTGAGAAAGGAGAATTGTAAATTTAAGGTCAGCCTGTGCTATACAATAAGACCCTGTCTCAAGCAAACAAAAAGTATGTATCACAGTAGAACAGAAAGAAACCACTGGATAACTAATAAGGCAAAAATTAGATGAAAAAGCCAAAACAAACTACTAAGCAGGAACTTTTTTTTTTTTTTTTTTGATAGGACTGGGGTTTTAACTCAGGGTTTCACACTCACAAAGCAGGAGCTCTCCCACTTGAGTCACTCCTCCAGCCCTGTTTTGTGTTGGGTATTTTCAAGATAGGTCTCAGGAATTAGCTCTGCCTCCCAAGTTGCTAGGTGTTAGCCATCGGCGGCTGGCCAAAATGAGAACATTAACAAAGATAAAAACTATGAGGAAAAATTACAGAAATTTTGGAGTTGAAAAATATAAGTGGGGTTCAAAAGCAAACCTGACCAGGCAGAGAAACAAAGAAGTGGATAAAAACAGGCAGAAGAAACAAAAGGGTGGGAAAAAAAGGAGCAAGGTAGAAAAAAGAAATAAAAATGAAGGGCCTAAGGGCATTGTGGAACATCACAGAACATCTCTAAGGAGAAGGAGTAAAAAACCGATGATAATAATGATAGCCAAAAACTTCCCAAATTCAAAAGATAGGGACATATAAAGTCAAGAAAATTAAACTCCAACTAGCATAAGTCTAACACATCTACACCAAAACACATCATAATAAAACCATCAAAAGTAAGAGACAGACAGACTGGAAATGTAGCTCAGTGGCAGAGCACTTGACTAGCATGTGAAGAGGTCCTGAGCTACACACACTACACACACACAAAGACAAGAATCCTCAGAATATGCCAGGCGTGGTGGTGCATGCCTGTAATCTGAGCAATTGAGAGACAGAAGCAGGAGAATCACAAGTTTGAGATTAGCATGGGCTACATAGTGAGACCCTGTCTCCAAAAACAAAAACAAGAACAGAAAAGAATCTTGAGAATAGCAAAAGAAAGTGACTTATCATCTAGAAGTGGACTCCCAGAACTGTACTGAATTGAAATTTTTCTATTCATCTAAGGATTCTTCAAAAAAGTAAAAAAGTATGATTACATTGTGTTAAAAGAGAATCAACACAAAGTTGAAAAGAAAAAGATAATAGAGGGGTTTCACAAAGGATATCTGAACCTCTTGTACATTATTTGTGACTTTTAAAATGAATCAGGGGGCTACAGATATAGCTTGGTGGTGGAGTGCTTGCCTAGCAAGCAGAAGGCCCAGAGTCCCATCTATGGCACTGCAAAAAATAATGAAGCAAAATAAAATGAATCGAATAAAGTATTCCTAACAACATGTACAGAGAATGTAAGTAAAAGATACATAAGAAAGCCATTAAACAATAAAACAGATACAAATGAACAGTACTTTGTAACGATGCACTAAAGGGAGTCTTCCATATCAAAATTAACAGAAGGTATGAAACAATCAAACAAAAGACATGGGAAGAAATGTATCTGTTTCATACTAAAAAAATATGACATAAAAACGACAACAGGGCATATGTAAATAATATAATAGTATGTGCAGAATATAAATAGCTCCTAAAAGGCATGAAAATAAAACTGAGAAATATATGAAAATCCATTTTTTATGCCCACATGTCCACAAAGTTACAAAACCTCAGACTCATAGGAATTAGAAATGAAAACATAGTTTTGATTTTCTCCAGATGCTCAAATATAAAAGGGATAGTAGCAAGTTTTGCTTAATGACAGGGAAATGTCACATGTTGTCGGGGGGTAGGATTCCTATGCAACTTGGGGTATGGAAGACCTTGCTAGAAGTAACAAAGTAGGAGATCACCATCACAGAAGAAGCAATCACTCTCTCCGTTGCCAACCTGGAGGAACTCTCACATCTGCTGTGAATAAAGAATGTGGGCTCAAAGGCAGCCACTGTGACATTCTTTGTAGCAGTTAGATGTTCTGTACTAACAAGAAAACATGCAAATTTTCAAAATGTGCAAGATAAGTATCAAACAAAGCATTCACTAAAGAATTTTCTCTGAAAATCTTATGTAGATACATTTGTACCAAACTTGAGCACACTCCTGACACAGAAATGAATCTGTGGTTTCCTGCTGATGTATGAGAAAGCCAGGAAGACAAGGCAAGGAAGGGACTGCTTTATACCTTATTACTCAAGATTCTTGATTGTTTGCAACTTTACTATAAAACAAGTATGTACATCATATGATTCTTAAATTTTTTAAAACTGAATACTCAATGCTAAGCGATAGAGTGAAAATGTGGTTCCAACCTTTGAAATGACAAGAAGTTCTGAGCAATAACAATTTTTACCCAAAATACCAGCTGCACGAGTCCCCACAGAATATCTCTGCAAAATGGAAGGACTGTGGATAGTTTAAAGAACCTCCTGCTAGGTGATGGGGATATAGCTCAGTGCTAGAGCACTTGCTTAGCATACCCCAGCCCCAATAGCTAAAAGGAAAAAAAGAAAAGAGAAAGGAAGAGAGAAAGAAAGCAAAGAAAAAGATCCTCCTGCCAGGAACTAGTGGCTCATGCTTGTAATTCTAGCTATTTCAGAGGCTGAGATTGGGTAGATCATGGTCTGAGGCCAGCCCTGGCAAAAATGTTCATGAGACCCCATCTCAAAAGAAAAAAGCTGGGTATCATTGTGTGCTCCTGTCATTTCAGCTATGGCAGGAAGCGTAAAACAGAAGGACAGTGGTCCAGGCTGGCCTGAGCAAAATGAAACCATTATCTCCAAAATAACCAGAGCAAAAAGGTCTGGCAGAATGGCTCAAGCAATAGAGCACCTGTCTAGCAAGCTTGAAGCACTGAGTTCAAACCCTAGTACCACCACTAGAAAAACAAAAACTTTCTGCTGCAATGGAAGGGCTGAAAATAGTTTTAAACAACCTCCTGCTGTTAAGAACTCAGATTGATTCATGCTTCTAAACTGATGAGAGAAGCCTGGCATGCAAGGTCTGATGGTCATCTGTCACCTCTGTGACATACACAGCACACCAGAGGCTGAGGTAAAAAGATCTAAACTTCACGGCCAGCATGGGTTACATAACAAGACCTCAGCTCAAAAAAAAGAAAATATTGATGATGTAATTAAATACCTTCTATCAAATATGTCTGACATTGTATTCCATTCCCAGTCAATGAGATAATGTAGTCATTGTTTGCTTTTGAGACAGGGCTTCTCTATGCAGCCCAGGCTAGCCTCAATCTTGAAATACTCCTGCTTCAGCCTTCCAAGGGATTGGAGGACAGGCATGTGCCACCACACCTGGCTCACTAACTTACCTTATTACTTACAAATGTAGCATAATATTAAGAAGAACATATTTCCCCTAGCAGGTCTCCATTTACACCCCTCTACCCTAAAATTTAGCAGGCCATCTGTGCAGTTTAGTGTGTTTCAGATAGGCACAGTGGCTCATGCCTGATATCCTAGCTACTTGGCAGGTGAGGCTGAAGGCCAGCCTGGATAAAAAGTTCACAAGAACATCTCAACCAATAAAAAGTTGGGCATGGTAGTGTGTGCCTGTGATCCCAGCTACACAAGAAGCGTAAATAGGCCAGTAGTCCAGACAAGCCCGGGCATAAACTGAAGACCCTATCTCAAAAAATAATTAAAGCAAAAAGGGTTGACAGTGTGGTTCAAGTGATAAGAGTGCCTGACTAGCAAGTACAAGGCCTTGAGTTCAAAACAGATTACTGCAAGAAACCCCACCCAAAAAAACCAGTGACTTCCATGCATTTATTCCACACTTTGTTATTTATGTCTATAAGAGTTAAGGTATGTTGAGATGTAGCCCCATACAATCCTGCGGCCCAACAGCACTGACAAGCAAGGCCCACACCACATCTCCAATCTGCCTGGGTGTGAAGCCCTTCCCAGGACCACTCCCAATGGAACCTCCTCACAGATTCCATGTCACTAGGTCAACGTGAGATGGAATGTAAGTGGAGGTGACAAAGGCTGAGGGAAGGCACAGGTGAGTATGAGCAAATATGTCAAGCAGGAGCCTGAGTCAGAGCAGGTCAGCAGTTCCTATGCCCAGAACTTCAGAAAGGAAGGAGACACAGAACAGTCAGTGGAGACCATCACTTTACCTGAATAAAAGCCATCCCTGGCTCCTTTTCTTTCCTCTTCCTCCCCCTCCGAGCTTCTTCCCCAGGTAACATGTGTCTTTAGAAGTTAATCCTGAATGTAAAAATTAAGCAGTTTAATGGTCAGAATCAACATACCCCCTTCCTGTGCTCCAGCCACAGACGTAGGAAGGACCACACCATGTGGAAAGATGGTCCTCTGCTGCCAAGGCACCAGGGGGATGCACGGACACGGACAATGACCTCCTACATGTACATCAATAAGTAAGCTCTTTGTGCCCTCTATTCAGACTTCATTCCTCTCCTGGTGTTCTTGTTCTCCCTCTCCCTCCTTCTCTGTTGTGCATGCATGCGCATACACACATACACAAGTGGATCTGGCTGTACCAATCTCTCCTTCAGAGCACAGATTCAGTCCCCCTTAGCCCTCTGTTGATCAAAGGTGATTGCAGGCCTCAGAAATTGGCAACACAGAACCTGGGTGCTCAATGCTACACACAGAACAGAATCAATTTTAAGTATTATTAAGGCTGGGCCCAACCTGAACAAGTGATGGGAATCTCTGATAAGGAGGCATCTCTGGCCGAGATTTGCAAAATCCCTTAGCACTCTGATGGGAAGCCAGGGTTGAGCACCACCCAGAGGGCAAGTCCAACCCACCTCCCACCTTCTGTCTGTGCTCTCCCCAGAGGGACCTTGTCACCTGTATCCAGAAAGTGGCCTGTGAAAGAGCAAAAGGAAACACGCAGAGCAGGCAAATGGGCCAGAAGTGGTGAGCATGTGGCTAGAATGTTAATGGCAGGTGAGAGGTCACAGAAGTCTCTCCATGGTGAAAGTGATATTAGAATAAAGACCCAGGAATAGTGTTTGCCACCTGCAGCTCAATGTCAGAGAGTTTTAGGCATAGAAGAGGAAGCAAGTGAAGGCCATGAGGCAGAGCAACCTTGAACAGAGGAAAAGGAAAGAAGGGGATGAGGCTGTAGCATAACTAGCAAGAACACTGTAGGAAATGAGGGCGGGGGACGGGGATGGCAATGGGGGGAGTCTCAGGAAACAGAGTAGGTAGGGCCAAAATTGTTAAACTTTTCCCCCACATCTCAAAAGAATTTTGTTTTTTGGTGGGAATGAGGTTTGAACTCAGAGCTTCACCCAAAGCAGGCACTATACCACTTGAGCCACACCTCCAGTCCATTTTCCTCTGGTAATTTTGGAGATGTGGTCTTCCTATTTGTCTGGGATAGCCTCGAACCTCGACCCTCCTGATCTCAGCCCCTCAAGTAGGTAGGACTAAAAGTGTGAGCCACCAGTGCCCAGCTTCAAAACAATTTTGAACCCTATTTGCTCACCTGTTTTAAGTAAACATGTACTTATCTTATAATAAATTCAGACACAAACAATATAGAATCTCCTACATTATAAATATAGGCAGAGATGTTCAGCTAAGCCCCAGGAAGTATGTGAGATGATAAGGACTACAGGAGGTCTGTCTGGCTGTTCATTTGTATTCTCTATGATATTCTTTATAACAAATGGGTAAATCTAGTGTTTTCCCTAGTGCTATGAGACCATCTGAAAATTAATAGAACCTGAGCATTGGTTTAATGGGAATTCCTACAATAACCAATTGATGAGAATTTCAGGTCCCAAACTGGAAGATGTCACTGGGAACCAAAGGGGGGTTGTCCATGGGACTGAGTCCTCAATCTAATGCTACATCCAGGTAATGATCTAAAAAGTACAGAACATTCACATGGTGTCTGACAGAGAACTGCTTGCTAATGGGCAGAAATCTCCTCATATTTAAGTGACCAGAGATGAAGTATTCTGTGCTAAATATTCAATGTTCTACTGAGTGCTACAGAAGGAAAAACACTCTCCCATACCACACCCTCAAACAAACTAATGAGTCAAGTTACTGCCTTTTGGCTGAATAGCATCTACAAAGGGAAACTATCCTTAATCTCAGCATTAAAAAAAATTGTTTTTGAGACAGGGTCTCAATATGCAGCCCAGGCTGGCTTTGAACTCTTGATTCTCCTTCCTCAGACTCCAGAGTGCTGGGATTACAGGTGTGTGCCACCAAACCCAGCATAATCCCAATACTTTAAAAATGCATGACTTTTGCAATTCTCATCTTTTAAACTTGTTTGAATTATAAAGACAGAAATCAATACATCACCACTTCATCATGCATATGTTATCAACTCACCATTCTTCTGCATGACAGCACCCCACCCGGCTCTTCCTTACTGTTTTCCTCCCTCTTGTTCTTACCTTCTAGCTCCAGCTCTTTTTTTTCCTTCCTGGATTTCTGTTCCCTGTTTGTTTTCCCTTTCCTCTCCTGCTGTTTCTCCCCTTCATCCCTCTATTCCTTGACTTCCACCTGTTCTGCACCATTCTTGTAGCTTGTCTCACCTATTGTTGCTCTTTTATCCTAGTCTTTTAAGTGTCCCCTATCTCCAAGTTTCTGCCATCCATGCTGTTGCTGTGCCCTTGTCCCCAGTCCCTGAATCCCATATCCCACTGTGTTTCTCCCACTGCTCTCTTTGTCACCTGTTGCCTCGCTTGTTATCCAGACACCTCCTGGCTGTTTGCTATGGCTGTAAACCATTTCTCCTCTTCTCCCACTCTGTCTCAAGGGCCTTCCCATATCTTGCCCCCTCTCTATTTTGCTGACCTTCATCCCTCTGGAGATAATATTTTAAATTTCTCTTTTTGCTCTTCTCCCCTGCTATTTTCTTGGCTGCTTCTTCCACCCTTACTGTCTCTTTACACATTCCTCACCCCATCCTCTACTTTGCCATCTGTGGATGGGGTGCTCCTCTTTCTGTTTTCCTGTTTCCTCTCAGTCATTTCTCCTGATCCCCCTTTGCCCACACACTCAGAGGGATGGGGATGGAATGAGAAATCCGCATGTGGTGATTTCCAGTCGTAAGCACTCTGGGAATCACAAGACAGATCCGAGACGCCTCCCCCAGCATAGGGACAGGGAGATGCAAAGGAGAACTGGGGATGGACTTTTCCGGCCTAAGACGACAAGACCGAGGATGCGGTGCCCGCTGCAGTCTGCAGAATCCTGGGGCTGGAGCCGCCAGGCTGCCCCGCGGGGGCCAGGAAGGGCAAGGTGGAGGACTCGGATCCCACATCAAGCAGAGGCGGAGAGAACACCTGGGTTTTAAGAGGAAACGGCGCAGAAGGAGGTGTCCACACAGTGCGCAGGGCAGGGGGACCCCGAAGGGCCAGCCTCGGAGCGGCTGTAACCACAGGGGCGGCCCTGGGCTCTCCAAGAGACGTCAGAATTTACTTGGGGAGAAGGGGACAGTGGGCGGACTTAAAGTTCGGCAGGGAACCCCAACCCCGGCCATTGAAGCACTGGGGGACCGCGGAGCGCGGACTTACTGTAGACAGAAGGAAACAGAGGCACCGCGCCGTGACCTCCACTCCACGCAATCCGCTTCCGGGTCTGCACAAAACTGCGCGCGCAGCAGGGAAAAAGGGCAGGAGGGGCCCAGGTGTGAGGGGAAAGGGGCGGGGCATAGAGGAGAGACCCGGTTGCTTGGGAAAACAAGCGGGTGGGCGGGGCGGTAGATGCAACTCGGCGAGTGGGCGGGGCCTGGCCAGACCTCGCGGTAAAGGGGCGGGGCGAGGGAGATGCCGGACATCGACGCTATTCACTGGGGCGTGGCCTGAGTAGTGAGGGGCGTGGTCTGCGCCTCCTTCCACCCTCCCTTCTCAGAGCTTTGCTCTTTTCCTCGGTTTTGGAGGCCACACCTCCAAGAGGGGATGCATTAACTCAGCAGTCTGAGAATTGAGATCTCGCTGGAGGAAAACGAGAATGTGATTGGATCTAGGAAAGTTCCTCCAATTAAAATTAATTTAAGCCATTTAATCAAAAGCCCTGAAATTGTGAAGGGGATGTAAGCTAGAACATGAAATGCAAAACTGCCCCTGTAGAATGTGCAATTTCTTGCTCACGCTCAACAGCTCGGAATAAAAATCATTTTCACTTCTTTCCCATTCAATCACAGAGAGCTTTGGCCCTGTGTTCAGAATGCCCGAGTCGGGGGTGTGATGTTAGGTCACCAACAAGTGCTGTAAGAAAAAGGAAAAAAAGTGCATAGTGTTCAGTAAAATTATAGGTCATTGCTGCAGACCAGGTTTGTTTGCTGAGCCCCGACAGAACAGAGTAAAAATCACAGTGGAGTCACTCACTGCAAATTCCCGATCATCAAGCTGAAACTGAGCTGTTTATCTTACCTCCAAGAAACCAGGAAAAATGAGAGAAAACAGCCAAATTTTTCATGGCTAGCTTCACTGGCCATGATAATGAAGCTTCCTCTGCTGTAATTCTTACATCCTTAAATTTTTTATCTGTACAAAAAGTAATCTGCTAGCCACATAGTTCATTTTCAATTTTTCTGCCTTGCCTGAAGAAGGAAAGTAATTTTGGCTTGGGAATTTTATTGGTTTGTGAGATAGGGTCTCACTATATAGTCAAGGCTGGCTTGGAACTCCTAATCCTCCTGCCTCAGCCTCCAGAGTGCAGGGATTACAGGTATGCCCCATCATGCCCAGCTCAGGAAAGTTACTTTGAAATCTGCATGGGGATTTAGAGAGTCTGTATCTGGCTTATTCCTATGTAGACAAGGGGGCAGTATCAGACTTCATGAGAGCTGTGGGGAAGTGTGGTTCTTTGCAGTGAGCTGTTTTCAGGAGAAGGAAAGGCTGGGGTGAGGTGGAGGGCTCTTTCAACTTTTATTTTTACAGGATTATAAAGTTGGAATAAATGTCAAATTATCACCATATTATACAACCAAGAACATTTAAAAAAATAAACGTCACATGTGGAAGTAGAGTAGTAGAAACTCTGAACTTACAATGACATTAACAAACTTGCCCAAGTACCTCAGCATGAGAATGGCAGAGAGGTACCATGCTTGCTTATTGTGACTGCGTGCTGTCTGTTCCAGTCACTTACAAAGACTTGTCTTTGAATGTTGAAAGATTTGGCTTTAAATTACCAACAATCAGAGTTCCATGTAACTGTTATATTGAACAAAAATCTAGAGCTATATAAAACAAAATAGTTTTCCCTTTTTCTGTTGATCATAGGAACAAATCTGTAGATATCATAAATTTTATGGTCTCTAGTAACACAATATGAGTAGTAATTAAAAATCTAAGACCTGTGTGACATCCAAAAATTAAAATTTTCTAACATCCCCTCCTAGTACCAGCTGAGCCCTGCTGAAGACGTCTCTCTGTCTCTCTCTGTCTCTCTCTGGTACTGGAGTTTGAACTCAGGGCTTCAGCAGTTATGAGACAGGTGGTCTACTACTACCACTCGAGTCATGCTTCCAACCCTTTTTTCTCTGGTTATTTTTAAGATATGGTCTTGCTTTTTGCCCAGGTCAACCTAGACCCCAGTCTTCCTATTTACTCTTCCTGCAGTAGCTGGGATGACAGTGTGCACCACTGTGTCCAGCTTTTTCTGTTGAGACAGAGTTTCATGAACTTTTTGTTCAGTGTGGCCTGGAACCATGATCCTCTCAATCCCCACCTCCCAAATAGCTGGGATTACAGGCTTGAGCTATGGGTGTCCAGCTTGAATTTAATGTATAAAAAATGACAATATTTCTCCATTAAATCATCAGATTATAACACTTTTGTTTTGAGGAATTTTTACAAAACATCTCAATTTTTCTATGGATATAGTTCTATTTAGATTTTCTATTTCTGCTAATGTCTATCTTGCTAGAGCACTTTTTCTTAAAAATATTGTCATTTCATCAGGATTACCTAAACAATAACCTTTTCTGTCTGTCTTTCTTTCTTTCTTTGGTATGGGGTCTGTTTGACCTGGGGTGGTTTCTTTTTATAACTAATACTATTATTATTAAGACCATTATTATTTTATTTTTTATGGGGGAACTGGGGTCTGAACTCACAGCTTCACGCTTGCAAAGCAGGCGCTCTACCACTTGAGTCACTCCTCCAATCCCCAGACTGGCCTCAAATTTGCAATCCTCCTGCCTCAGCCTTCTGATGCTGGGATTACAGATAAGGGTCATCACACCCAGAAGGGTTTAAACTTTTAAATAAACTTTATTTTTGGAATAGTGTTAGATTGATGGAAAAACAAAGTTGCAAAAACGATACAGAAAATTCCCACACACACTCTGTACCCAGTTTCTTGTGTTATTACTGTCACCCTCTACAGAAGCTTAGACAATCTATGAAGCAAAAAAAAAAAACAGTTTGATAGGGATCTTAGAATTATAATTCAAGGTATACAGAGTCTAGTATGAACTTGATTGTGCCCCTTTTCAAGGGTAAAAAAAGTGGGTCACATAGATTATTTATCAAAATAATATGTTTGGAGGATAATTTACTTCTGTAGCTCAGTGGTTGAGCTCAGACCAGCTAACACCCTATCAAGGCTCCAGGAAACACTTTAGTTAATACAGTACTCAGGTTGTTCCTTCCCAAGAAGTAACTTTCTTTTTGTTTTCTCAGCAAGTTTATAGAGTGGTCACCACAGCAGATGATGGAGTCTGAGTCACTACTGCCAACTTCCTTTCACATCTCCTTATATGTATGTGGTCCATTTCCCACATGTAATGGACCCCTGTTGTCATGTTATTGTCGATTAACTCATACTTTTATTCAGATTTCCTATTTTTTTAAAACTGATGTCTTTTATCTCTTCCTGGACCTGATCCAGGCTACCACATTGCTATGAGTTATCGTATCTCCTTCGGGTCCTCTCGAGAGGCTTTGGACAGTTTCTCATACTTTCCTTGTTTGGAGGAATTCTGGTCAGGTACACAGTATCACTGTCATTGCTGTTTCTGGCAAAAGCAACTCTGGATTTGCCTGATAATTAATTAGAATTTTGCATTTGGTAGAAGCCGGAAGAGAAAAGGTTCTATGTTTATCTTATCAGGTGAAGGTGCACACTATCATCATGACTTAGCATCACTGAGGTTGACTTTAATCACCTGAGTAAGGCTCTATTGTCAGGTTAGTACACTACAATCTCCCTGCCCAGTAGGCTCCTGTACTCATTCACAGAGCATAACTATAGGCAGCCTACACGTGAGGAGTTATGGGTATTTTTCACTTCCTTGAGCAAGCAGAATACTTACATAAGTTATTTGTAATTCTCTTGCATGAGAGATTTGTGTCTTCTCCTCCATTTGTACTTTTTATTTCCTCTCTCTCTTTCTTCCTTCCTTCTTTTTTTTTTCATTACTGAGGCTTGAATACAGAGCCTATATCTTGAGCCACTCCACCACCCTTTTGTGTGTTGGGTTTTGTGGAGATAGGGTCTTTGCGAACTATTTGCCCTGGCTTCAAAGTGTGATCCTCCTGATCTCTGCTTCCTGAGTAGCTAGATTTACAAGTGTAAGCCACCAGTGCCCAGATCTCCCATTTATTTTCTTGTTCAACCATTTATAATAGCCTATCTTGGTGTTTTCCAATAATAATTCTTGATATCATGTTCTTTCTTGGACTAGTCCCCATTAATTACAGTTCTCAATCTCTTTATGTCATCAAATGTCTCTTCTCATGAAGCACAAGAGATCTAGAAGCTTAGAGGTCTCATACTTAAAGATTAGATCTTTTTTTTTTGGTAGAAGAAATTCTCAGGAAAACAGAGTGGGACACACACCTTGCTATAAGTTCCTAATGGGGCAAACCTTAGGATTTCCTGTTCTCCTTATAGGAGCTCCTCTCTGTCTACAGGGCCCAGAGAAATGAAAAGGCCTCTCTTTCAAACTCTGATTGTTGCTTTGGATATGCTTCTAAGACACTTTGTAATTGTTCTGGGCAGCTAAGAATTGGGATAAATCGCCACGCCCTCCTGAGTGCTCGTATTTTAAGCATGTGTCACCACACCTGGCTAGATTTACTTTAGATGTAAAAGTATACACAAGCTAAAAGTGAAAGGATGGGAAGAGGTTTTCCATGCAATTGGAAACCCAGAGGTGAAGGTGGCTATACTTATCTCAGACAAGATAGTTTTTAAGCTAGAACTGTTGAAAAAAGACAAAGGAGGACTTTATAAAATGATAAAGGGCTGATACAGCCAGGCACAAGGGTGCACACTTGTAATTTCAGCTATTTGAGAGGCATAAGGATCAGGAGTTCCAGGCCAACCTGTGTTACAGAGAAAGACCCTGTCTCAGAAAAGAAAGAAAAGGGAAAAAACCTAATCAAAATATTCAAAACCAAATTGAAATGATTACGTGTCATAATGTTTGGGACTCACATCTGGAAGGCAACATTGCTCAACACAAGAAAGTCAAGTGATGTGGATATAATTCCCCACATCAATATAATGAAATAAAATAACCTAATGATCATTGTGATTAATACAGAAAAAGTATTTGGTCAAATTTAACACCTTTCAGGATAAAAATGTGCAATAAACTTGGAAGGAATCTTAAAGAC